TTTTTTCAAAAAAACTTACTCTTACGGACCTTTACGGGATTTACAGACCTAGTTCGAGTCCTGCTGAACGGAAAAATTCGACCTACTTTTTCACCTTTATTGAACCCTGGGCTCGGTTAAATATTTAAAATCAAGATTTGGCATTGCATTATAGTTTGACATTGGTCCATATCACGCAAACTTGGGCTAATATTGCCAATACACGTTAATCCAACATTAAAATTAAAAACTCGACATTCAACACTGGCCCAATATTGGCAATAAAAATTGCTTCAATATTTACCCTTTCGCCAGGCTGGGCAATTTTCCTCCGGGTGCTACGATATAAATACTGTACAAATACAGTGCACTAAAATAAACAGAAAATACAGGGTAAAAAATTCTTTTATTTTCCTCTCTTCCAATTTCTCGTTCGATTTCTATTCTGTGAGTTTATACAATATACACATATCTGATTATTGAAGAAGCATTCTCCTTTCTAACAATCGCTCTTTCTCTCAATTATATTTGCTTCTTATACTCGATTTTCTCTCTCACTCGCGCTTCTTGTTTCTTGTGGGTGTTTATTTGCAATGCTCTCGATTCGAGAGATCCGTCGAGGCACTCTCGAGCCATTGGCCTCGGCTTAATCGAGTTGGATGTATAAAGGTTCATGAATGAACCAAGTCAAATACTTTCGAGTTGACTTGCCACGGAAAGGTGCACGGAAAAAATTTAGAGACTCCAGAAGCGCAAAATCTTGTACAGATTTTGTACTGCTGTCTTTGTTCAACTGAAATTCTAACTTTGGAGCTCTGGTGTCCAGTGAGGTGCATCTGCTATACTTTTGGGGACACCAGAGCTCCCCATTTGGGATATCGTTTGTCCAAGAATAGATGGATAAGCTCTGAGTGCTTCTGTAGTCCCCAAATTTTTTCCGTGTGGAAAGAGAGGAATCGTTCGACCTAACAACTTTCGACAGGTTCATCGATTGCATCGCGCTCATCGACCCCGCATTGACCTCGTTTACTTAAACCCCATCAATCACACCTTTATTTTTTTTCGCTAATAAAACAATGTTATATGAATTTCAGTCCTTATGACTGGAATTTCATTTTAGTACTGAAAATATTTATCTTTTTACTATGACAAATAATTAATGCACTGACAAAAATATTCTTGTTTTGAAAAAAAAATTCCTCTTCTAAAATCCTCTTAACTTTCATTCTTGAATTAAGAATATGTAGGTAGTCTTCATCGGAGAATATTTCCTCTTATTTTTAGAGGAAATACTCTAAAGTAGAGAATAATCCTCTTCAAATAAGAGGACGTTTATTGGGCCGTATTCAAGAGGAAAATATGCTATTAAAACAAGAATATATTTTTTCGGTGTATTACATTATTGAATCTACGATTCCCTACCGAATTTCCTAATCTAACTTTCCTAATTTTTGAATTTCCTAAATAAATATTATTATTATTAATAAATATTATGTTACTACTATTATTCCTACAATTATTTCTACTATTATTTCTTGTAAAATTTTATTAGGGAATTAAATAAAATAATAATAAAATTAGTTATTATTATTTTTAGTATTTCTACTACATATTACTTGAATTTAATTTTGATATTCAAAAATGTATTACTAGGTATACAGTTAACTAAACATTTACTAAAACTAAAAATTTACTTGTGCTGCCAAATTCTTGCCAAATTCTGTCTTCAAAAGCAAAAATTATTAAATCCAATTTTTATTAAAATTAAAGAAATATTTAATTAGGGTAAACAAACTTTATTTCGAATAACCTACAACTCAGGTTTATACAAAAAAAATAGAATATTTGATTTAAATATAATTTTTCCCTGGGTGTTATTCTATAAATAAAATTGATTTAACATAAATAAATATTTATTTTATATTTAAATAAAAATTTGATTCAGTTTAGGTAATCAATTTTGGCTTCAAAGAAAGAATTTGCTTATCTGAAGCAAATTATTATAGTTGGAACAGATAAAGGTACAGATAACTGTAAAGCAATGTATTTATTGGGTTGATTCCAAACTGACTTTTAGAACTGATTTCAAAGTCTAAAAAAGAAAATTTTAACCCTGTCTAAAAATTACTTTTCTCAATACATAAATTGCAATTTTTCCATTGAATCTCTATGTAAAAATCACATCGACTTTGAAACCCTCTTATAATTACTTTTATCATAAATAATACGAAAACCAAATTTAATGATAAATCGTCCAAGCGCCCATCCTGCCAGAAGGACGTTCCGAAAAAAAGGCTTTTAAAAAAAGGGAATTCAACTTTTCTTTTCTGGCACTCTTTGGGGTTAAAGTAGACGAAAAGACGAAAAAATACATATTTTTGACTTTTTAAAATAATAATTTAAACCATTTTTCAAAGCCTTCAAACTTGTTATGTTTATAAACAGTGAAAAAAACATTTTTTCGTAAATTTAATGTAAAATCCCCAAAAATCAATATTTTTTGACCGGACAAGTCTCTTTCTCTTCAGAAACGTTCAAAGAATGAAACCTAATTGTTCAATTAAAAAAAAATTCATTTTTAATATTGTTCAGTATATCTGAGTAATACTCAGGCGCGAGTCCCTTCGAAATTGCTCTATAAAATTAATATGGAAGCAGATAAATATAAAACTAAATATATCGTTGGAAAGGTAATGAAACAAGCTTTCAAATGATGTAAATATCGAGTCTTTAAATTTATAAACCTGGGCTAGGCAGTCTCTTAAATAAAGCGAAAAGCGTCCTGCCGGCAGGACCGGGCTTCGTCATTCTGTGACTAAAAATTATGTGAATTTTTGGAACATATAACTTCTTCAAACTACCCAGCCCTTAGTTTTGAACTTACAAGCTCGATATTTATATGCGCTGAAAGCTTGATTCGTTACCTTTCTAATGATATATTTCATTTTTTATTTATCTGAATCCATGTAAGTTTTCTTTAGTGATTTCGGAGGGACTCACCTGAGTCTTTTTCGTCCTGCCGGAAGGACGTTGGACGATCTATCATTAAATACAGAATAAGAGTAAATAGGTACAAATTAAAATTGGAAATATTTAAAATTCTGACGTTCTGTCTGATTATTTTTGTCTTCTCACCACTGAATCAAAATTTAATTATTTATTTCTCTGATATAAACACAATTGAACGTTATGTGAAATAATTTAAAACATTAAAAAAATTGCTTAATCAATTCTATTCCAATTCTATTCCAAAATTTAATAAACAGATTATTAAACTTGGGCTAATTGATGGTTTCTACAAAGGAGGATGTTAAAAAGGGTCGATTTTTGCCCCGAACCGAGAAGTAAATTTCAAGTGAATCCTTATACATTTTGAGCCCAGGAATCGAGTAGTAATTTAGACTAATTACAAAACAATTTTATATCTACAATGATATCTAGACTTTTCTCTGATGTCCGAAGAATGTGTGAAAATCTCGGAAAACTCAGAAAAAGTCAAAATAATAAAAATAATCTATTTACGTTGTTTTAGAACTGACAGAAGTAATTCAAATTCATTTCTAAATTATTTTTTGGACTAGGAATAACTGTTGTGAGTTTTAATATTGACGAAAAAGTCGGAAAATTGTAACAAATTGAGCTTTGGTAGTCAGAATCAATTTAGAGTTGAACAAAGTTAACTGAATTTAGTTCTAAAATGATTTTAGATCTACCACCATATCTAGATTTTTCATTAATATCGGAAAATGTGTGATAATCGCGGAAAACTCAGGAAAAGTCAAAATTATGCATTGAATTGAAACCTACAACAGTTCCGGGACAAAAAAATAATTTGGAAATGAATTTAAATAAAATTTGTCATTTCTGAAATAACATCAATACATAATCTGCGATTTTCACACATTTTCCAATATTAAAGAAAAATCTAGATATGATGGTAGATCTAAAATCATTTTAGATCTAAATTCAGTTAACTTTGTTCAACTCTAAACTGTTTTTGGCTACCAAAGCTCAATTTTTTGTTACAATTTTTTTGGTTTCGATTTATCCATAGATTTTCCGACTTTCCCGTCAGTAAAAAAACCTACAACAGTTATTTCTAGTCCAAGAAATAATTTAGAAAAAAATTTGAAGAAAAAACTGAAAGATGAAAACTTTATTCAACTCTAAATTGATTCTGACTGCCAAAGCTCAATTTTTTACAATTTTCATAATTTTTCCATATATTTTCCGACTTTTTCGTCAATATTAAAACTCACAACAGTTATTCCTAGTCCAAAAAATAATTTAGAAATGAATTTGAATTACTTCTGTCAGTTCTAAAACAACGTAAATAGATTATTTTTATTATTTTGACTTTTTCTGAGTTTTCCGAGATTTTCACACATTCTTCGGACATCAGAGAAAAGTCTAGATATCATTGTAGATATAAAATTGTTTTGTAATTAGTCTAAATTACTACTCGATTCCTGGGCTCAAAATGTATAAGGATTCACTTGAAATTTACTTCTCGGTTCGGGGCAAAAATCGACCCTTTTTTAACATCCTCCTTTACTTCTTAAAAAAGATTGAAACTCGGGGAATTTGTTGTTCTATCAAGAAGAAATGTGACCCAAAAAGCATTTTTGACTTTTTCGAAAATATGGAGAGGGTAGAGGGGGAATCCATTGAAAAGAGCATGAAAAAACCTTTTAGAAACTTATTCTACCAAATTTCTCTCATTACTAGTATGTACAGAAAAAATTGAAAAAGTAGACGTTGTTTAAGAAAATTGATAAAATTGACCCCCCTCTACCCCCTCCAAATTTTCGAGAAAGTAAAAAATGTTTTTTGGGTCACATTTCTACTTGATGGAACAACAAATTTCCCGTGTTTGTTTTTTGTCCTGTTTTTTAACTTTCGAAATTTTTGAAAAAAATGATTCAATTTTTCTGGTTCCTTGAAAAAAAAATTGTTGACTTATTAGAGTCGACACTAACTTTAGGGACCTTGAATTTAAGGATATATTTTAGGCTGCAAATACATTATACTTTAAACTTCGTTTCTACAACACAGTGTAATTAAATTTTATCAAGGAAAGGTTTATATTTAATAATTTATCGTTGAAGCAAAAACTATTGTCTCTAGAAATGAAGAGAAAGGGAGAATTGGGGTTCCCTGAAACAATAATCTATTTAGAAGTGTGCGATAGTGTCGAAGCGTGGAAAAAGGGGTTGGCACGATAATAGGGAGTTGAGTGGGGAGAGAGAAAGAGAGAGGATGTTTAGTGAATCACGAGCCACTACCCGTAGGAAATTGAAGGCTGGATAAGCCTTTATTGGCCGATAACGATTAATGATTCTGCGTGGGATTGCAGCCAGTTGCCTTGTCGTCATTGGTCAACCAGTTCACCAGTCGTGAATATACGGAGAGACTCATGCATTTCTGCGGTTGATTATCAACGCTATTTTGCGTTATCGCGACAAAATCAAATGCAAATTTCATCGAGCGCTTTTTTCCCTCTTCTTTGACAGAGATTTATCGGAATTATCCAATAGCGGATATTATATTATACCGACATCCGCTAATGTTTACCGTTTGAGCTCCCTTTTATAAACCACACTTTATTGCCAGGTAAGCAACATGTTAATTAATTAGTAAACTAATTAAATTAAATAAATCAGCCTATTAGGTAATTCTTTAGCTAATAAATTATTTAACTAATGTTATTCAATACTTTTACTAATATTAATTAATCATTTAACTCTCTAAATCTGAATTAGTTAAAGGTTGTCTACTAATTTAAAGTAGTAAAAATTTTTATTAATTTTTTATAATTTGCCGATAAAACTTAACTAAAAAAACTAATTATTCATTTAACTTATATTAATTGGTTAATTATTAATTAATAATTATTAGAGCTGTACAAAATTCGAACCGAACCGAGTTTTGTTCGGTTTTGGGGCGCTGAAATGTCGAATATTCGACATTCGAACTGGGCGACTGAAATGTCGAATTTTAGAATTCGACATTTTAGCGTACCAAAACCGAACACAACTCGGTTCGGTTCGAATTTTGTAGTAACTCGAATGTCGAAAAACCGACATTCGAACTAAGCTATAACTCGAATGCACAGCTCTAATAATTATATTATAAAGCCAGATTTAATTACAATTATTTTTAATTTAAAAATTTTTTAAATTCATACTTGAATAATTTTATTTAATTATATATATAATTATTATTATACCTATCATGTTTATTACAAATTTAAAATATATTTAAAACATTTTTAAAAAATTGAAAAATTAAAACTATTTTTTGAAATAAATTCAAATATTTATTTAGAAAATAAAATCTACGTCAAAGTTTGAAGTGGAAAATTATTAAAAATAAAAAATTCTCTTTGAAACATACATTTTGTGTGTGTGTGTGGAATATAACTGTAATGAGAATATTACCTTTTTCAAGCTGTTGAGAAACTGGACTCTGGGTCCTCAGGGATGGCTGTAATTGAGCTGCGTTTCCTGGACGTCCTCTTGGCCTTCGACCAGGTCGCGGCTGTAATAAATAAAGGCGATATTTAGTTAAAAATAATAACTACACGTCTTCACGAAATTACACCTAAGGTAAATTATACCAAGATAATTCACTCCCAATGACGGTTAATAATACTTTTGTTTTTTAAAATAAAATTTCTTAAAAATATTTAATTACTTTCCTCTCGGAAGAGAAAAATAATGATCATTTAATGTAATTTAGTTTTTTTTATTATTCAATATATGTAATTTAAAATATATTTGCACGGAGAAAAATTATTTTTAATGATTACAATAGTCTACATTACAGCGCGGATATGTGACCACTTTTTGGAATGATTACGAAGACTATGTAATGTGTTAAGAATTTAATAGGAACGATTACTATAGCTGTTGTAAGGGATACCTTCATGTTTGTACTCCTTACAACAGCTATAGTAATCATAACAAAAAGTGGTCACATATCCGAGCAGTAATATAGATGACTATTGTAATCAGTACGAATAAATTTTTCTCCGTGTGCATAATTCGTTTGATATATAATTATATTATTTAGTTTTAAACACCTATTTAAATATACACGAAAATATCTATTTAAGTATGTTTTAATGAAAATTTATTAATAAAATTTCTATTTCTTATTTATTAAAATTTTAAAAGATTGATTTTAGAAACAGATGAAAATATCACAAAAAATCAATTGAAAAGCAAGTTGAAAATTTCAAAGATATTCTTATATATAATGGAATGAAAATTACACGTAAATTATTGGAAAATATGACGAATCTTAATAAAATGACTAATTTATATAGGTATTATCAATAATTCCCGGAATGAGTCTAAAATTAGAGGAAAGAAGAAGAAATATTCATTTCAGCTAAGTAGCTAATGAAAAACAGATAGATTATTTAAAGTGAATATTTTTTTATTATCTTTTATGGAATATAGAAGGATGTTAAAGTTTTGAACGTTCAAATGAACGAAATTTATTTATTTCTTCTTCAAATTAAATTTTTATTACTATAATTTTTCGTCACTATTAAGCAAATTAATTATATAATGTTTCTAAATGTAAAATTTGAGTTTTTAATTTGAATTGTAATCAATAATCTATGAAACTATTTTTAACAAAAAATATTTCGTTCATTTGAACGTTCAAAACTTTTTGTTCATAATATAGAATTCAAATTAACCAAAAATTAGTTTATCTATTTTTGTTTTTTATAAATAAAATATTAACTTTAGTAATACCTACATACTTCTAGTTTTAATTGTGAATCTAAGCGAGAAATATTCGAAAGTAGTAAAGGTTTGTATATAGTCAGACAAGTCGACTGAATATTTAAAGTAAATCGGAAAAACCAGACGTAGAAAAGATTATTAGACGGTATAAAAATTAAAACTATATCGTCTTAAAATTCACCAATGACATTTTTTATAAATCGGGAATTTTTTTTTATCTTTTACATTCTTATTTACCAAAACACTGTTAAGTCTATATTTATGCAAATATAATAACTATTAATTATTATATTAATTATACTAAATATAAATTTGACTCTCTGCTTTGTTTCTTTTTCTACAAGACAATCTTAGTCAAATATTGGCGCAATCTCGGTAAAATTTTTCAAAATATTGGAAAGATTTTACGTTAATCGTACATATTTTTCAACTGGATAGAATCAAAAACTATTATAACCCTTTTTCAAACAAAATTCCCTCATTTCAAAAACCACAAAATTTGTCAAACTTCACAGAATTGTTTCATTAATTATCTTTACCCCAAACGATCCACACTATTTAAAAATTCTTCCCATTTATTTAAAATAAATGTTCAACCTTTAAATTTTCTCTTCCCTTGAGAAAAATCTTTGCCAAGAAAGTTCCAACTGACATACATTTCTTTCTTTCCCCCTATCTCTTCATTTTTTTGCTATCATTTTCTGGCGCATTTCTAGAGAAATATAACATTCGCCCCAACTATTTTGGATTCTTCCTTTCTCTTTCACTCTCGGAGTTTTCCTAGTCGAGGACATATGTATAAATACAGTGTGAGAAATATAATTGCAAAGTCAAACCGAGAGGGAAAAGAAGGAGAGCGAGAAGAGACTAGATCTCCTCTCTTTTTATTGTAGTCGCTCCTAAAAGGTTTAGAGAGAGAGAGAAAGGAGGCTTTTGTTTGAATCGTGCATTTATTTACCGCAGATAAACGCGACTCGCTCTACGAGTTGACGGTCAGTGATAAATAAAACAGGTCTGTCGCGGGTGCAGTAATCCAACGCAATGTACTTTGCAAACTCTAACAATGTGTTGTTAACACATATAACTGTAGATGAATTATAAGGTTACTCGTCGCGTGTTTATATTTTATTGATGACGCAAGAGTAACAACACAACATAATTCTTGGGACTGCGTGCACGAGAAGAGAAAATACTTTCTCTTTTGCAGTTGTTTTACTTCTTTTGGCATGCTCCACTTTTTTTCTTTTTTGGTAAGCAATTGTTTTCCTTACTAACAGTGTGTCCAATTAGGGCAAAATTCTGAAATTGGGCAACAGAATCTTAATTTTGGGTGGTCCAAGAAAAGCTAATCCTTCTTGGGCCCATTTACAAAAAGTACAAATCTATGTCTGAAATTTTTGCGCATTTCTGCTATGATACCTCTTACTGTTTCCAAATTGCATTTTCTTGCACTGTGAATTATAAATCTTACTTTCAGCCCACTTTTGACTAAGACCGTTTACATTAGAACAATTTTTGACTCAGTTTTAGCCTTGAGAATATGATTCTAAGTCATAAAATAGTTTTAATCTACTTTCAAGCTTAAAAATATTGTAACTGAACATATTTATTTAGTTAGAGATTAAGTTACGAATCAAGAAATTAATACTTTTTAAATAAAATTATTAGTACATTTGCACGAAAGGTCATTCATTTTTTGTAAGCTCGTTTACTACTTAAATAAATAAATAATTAAAGTTACAAGAAGAAATAAAAATAATGTCGTTTATGTAAACGTTCGAAACTTAAGAAACATAAGATTTTACAAAAAAAGCTTTGGGGTTTTTGAGTAGTTTCAATTTAAAGTTTCTCAGTAAAATGTCCGCCATTTTGTTATTTTTAAGTATTTCTTAAATGTCCCAACGGATTTGAAAAGAGGAATAAAAGTTTTTACAGGTTCAGAAAGACAATAATAAGATATCGTCATTATTGAAAAAGTTGTCCAACTTTAAAGTTTTGATTTTCTTCAGAAAAAAGACAGACTTTGAAAATTAAAATCCTTATAACTTCGCAAAATTTTTTTTCATTGAAACAAGAAAAGCGATTTTCAACTTTTACACTTTCTTTTTCTGTTTTGTAATAAACAAAATTTTTGATATCTCAATAAAAATATTTTCTTATCATTGCAATATTATTTTTCCCAGTTTACTTTTTTTTCTGCATGTATACAAGAAAAATATGACAAACTTTTGAAGAAATTTATATTCTCCTCCTTTTTCACGATTTAACATTTTTTTTCTTTTACATATAGGAAAGAATATGCAGTGACCCAATATTTACAACACTTTTTGTCTCTTCTGAAATTCCTCGCAGTTCCATACATAATCCTCAAAGAGAGAAAGGGAAAGAAAAAGAAGAAGAAATTAACGAGGTGCTGGATAACGCAAAAGGAGGGAAAAAAGATCTGAAATGTAATAGAAAGAGAAGTCTCGTGTTATTCAGCAGACACTTCCGAGAAGTTCCCCTGTTTAAACTGCAGATCTCGGCAGAATTAATTTTCCGAGTCCTCTCTTCGCCTGTTCAGTTTCCCCCCTTTCGGTTCGAAACGAGCTCTTCTCTCTTTCTCTCTTTCTCTCTCTCGAAATACCGCACGAGCAAACAGTTTCGTTCACGTAGAAAGAAGAATCCAAGGCGATGTTCCGTATGTGTTTTATTGCAAATTGAGGTTAAAGTCTTTGGCACATGGCCAAGTATTCACCTAGGCAGGCACATTCCAGCTGCATAGATAAATATACGAACGTATACATGCAGAGAGACACAACTTTAATGTTGATCGTACAGCGTACACTGAGTGCGAGGGGGTTACAATAAGGTGCCCTCATATGGATTCGAGAACAATATATGCGCAATTCAAGTTCCAACATTCAAGTTACACTGAAGTAAGACATGACCCATTGCTCTTGTGTACAAGACGAAGCTACGTGTACCCGCCCGAGTTTTAAGTAAGTACACGGAAATTACATGAAATAAATTCTTACATTCACTTTCACATTCTCCTTCAACTATTAAGAAAGTATTTTGCTTCAAATGAAAACTGACATTTTACACCCTAAAAAAGTATTTTGATTTCATGCGGATTCCTCTAAACTGAATACATATTTTCCTCTTATTTTTTGTATATTTTCATAAGTATATTTTCCTCTTCTCACGAGAGGATTTTACTCTCGCATATCTGAAAAAAATTACATTCTAATTTTAAGAAAAACTTCTTAAATATGCGCCAAGAATAATGTTCTTCTCATTGGAAGAATATTTTCCACTTATTTTAAGTGGGGAATATTCTTGGCGCATATTTAAGAAGATTTTCTTAAAATTAAAATGTAATTTTTTCAGTGTAAGTATTATTTGCCAATTATGGTTAGGAACTGTTGAAGAAAGATATTCTGATGCACTGAATTATATGTTTTTAAATAAATAAATATAATATAATTACCTTATATTATAATATACCTTATATTATAATATAATTACCTAATGATTAATTGCTAATTACTCACATTAATTAATAAATTGATTTACTTATTTATTTGACTACTCTCTAAATCTAAATATGTGAAAATTCACATATTTGTACGTTATAAGTCGTCCTCTCGATCAATAAGTGCACACGGAAAAAAAAAGTTCCCAGATATTTCAGGAATTATTTCCTAACTCTTGGATACGTGGTAACAGCTCTGAACTAGCGTCGAACATTCAATGGTAATCAATGAATGTTTGAAAGAAATTCGGGAACTGTATTAGAAAACGCTGTAAATAGTCCAATAGTCTTTTTTTCATTTCTTTCTCATGTAAAGTCCATGGCACTGGCCGCAACTGTTTCTGAAATTTTCGGGAACTCGTCAAGGAATCTTGGTGCGCAGAAACTGTGCGCACCAGTCTCAACGTCAGTAAGACTTGCGTGCCTTATATATTTATTTTATGCTGAGGTATTTAACGCTCCTGTTTAGCTCACGTGGATAAGACGCCGGACTTCTATTCCTCGGGTACGCGAGTTCTGTTCCAGCCGCCGTCGATTTTTCTCTCATATGGTTTTTTCTATTTCAGAAACTTAATAAAAAATCAAAATTGTATGTGATCTTCAAGGATAAATGTGTGTGTGTGTGTGTGTGCGGACGTGTCAAGGAGGGGAAGTGGGAGGGGGGAAGCAGAATCCATTTTTTCTTGCATTCGCCTAACTTTTCGATTTTCTTGAACAGTTCCCGACTTTTTCAAGAACAGTTTGCCGAGAAGTGGTGAAATAGTTATAATTTGTAGAGAAATAGTAAATGACATATTTAAACGAGGCAACCTTTAGTTCTCTGTGAACTACCCGCCGTATCCAAGAGTTAAGAACGAAGTTCCCGAATAATCTTCGAACTTTTTTTTTCCGTGCATATACACTTATAATAAGTGAAATTTCACTCAGAATAAGTGAAAAATTCACTTATTTATAAGTGTATATGCACTTATTGATCGAGAGGACGACTTATAACGTACAATAAGTGAAATTTCACATATTCAGATTTAGAGAGTATATAGTTCAATGTTTTTGACATCAGAACCTTAAAAAAATTGTTTTCTTTTATTATTAACCACACGGAGAAAACTGGAGAGTCAAATTCAGAGGTTCAAAAAGTGTATGTTTCCTTTGCTTATGAAGAGAGTTAAATAGTCCTTCTAAAATAAATTTTCAATTGATAATGGAAATCTACTTGTATATTCTCTCCCATTATATCTGAGGGTTAAAAGTTGCGCAGAAAATGTGTACGATCTGATGCGCGCGAAATTATTTTTCTGACATTTTATGTATTTAATTTAGGGGTTAGGTTGCCATATTTATTCATTTCGCGCCGGATAAGGAAGGGATTTCTCAAGATGGTTAATATGTCCCTCTGTTAGAGAAATGGCACGAATATCTGTCAATGGTGAATTTGAACATTTAGATTGTTATCCAATAGCAAACTCTCAAATATGAACGATTTGTCCCTCCAGATGCTTAGTCCAATACTCCAGTTTTCTCAGTGCACGAAAGAATTAAAATATTCTTCATTCAAATGGCATACTTTTGTTTTAAGGGAAAAAATTAAGAAACAATAAATTTTTGTTTCATTTAACATTTCAAACTTGTTATAATACACTGTAAAAAAAGGGAGTTAAATTTTAACTCCCCAGGAGAGTCTATAAAAGTCGCACCCATTGGGGAGTTAATGCCAGGGGAGTTAAATAAAGAGAGTTAAAATTTAACACCCAAATGCTAACTCCCCATGGAAAAAATAACTCGCGCGGGTGTTGAATGAAAGGGAGTTAGAAATTAACTCTCTTTTTGGAGTTGATTTTTAACTCCAAAAATTTAACTCCCAACTCCCGAGTCCGTTAACTCCCTAAATTTTTTACAGTGTAAAAAAAATAATAAATAAAATTACTCTCACGTTCATTAAAAAGAAAAAACCAAAAAAGTTAAATTAAAAAGAATTTATTGGGAACGGTGGTCGTGACGTCACAAACCAATATGGCCGGCGAGATCGGTCTGTTTTAATGACAGATGTAAAGTAAACACGTGTAATTTTGATTGAAAATCAAAAAATGCAGCTTTTTTGAACAGAAATATTGGTTTTCACCAATTCGACACATTTAAGTCGAATTTTATAGAGGGTGAAAGGTTATAAAAAATGCCGGACATGTTACCTTTTGTAGAAAACTGCAAATGGAAAAATCAAAATTAACCAAAAGTTCATTGCATTCTATTTGCAAACATCGAATATGCGTGATAATCCAATAATGTTTGAATCTTCATTATTCCCAAAGAATTCAATAAAAACTGATTTCGATTTTACAGGAACAAAAAGAAACTTTTAATGCTTTTAATCAAGATAAAACTGTCGTCAACATAACCTATAAAATTCTTGAGAGTGCATCACAAATAGTAATTCTGTAACAATTTAAAGCCTTAATTATATATTTAAGCAGATTTAATACAATTTTCAATAACTTCCCTGCTTCAGTAAAAAAGAATAATCATCTTTTGTGAAATGCGACTCTTTTATGCCCAATTTATTTTCGAAATTGACCATTAATTCTCCAGCTCTTGATGGAAATCTTTGACTAAGTTGAACTTTAAAACATTGACCAACGAAAAAAAATATTTGCTAAATAATTTAATTATAGATAAAGCAACAATATTGCCACAAAATATTTAGAAAAAAATTTATGTTTATGTTTTGATGATATTATTTTACAATTTTACGAATACAGCACTTTCTACTGCTGCACCCAAAAACTGAGCAAAAATTATTGGTTTTCGATGTTTTGGGAGTAAATCTTACTCTGACGAAATTCGATTTAATTTCTTCAATTTATTATTTACTTTTTATGAAGTTCTTTCTATTTTAAACCTAAAATATAAGACGATTTAATATGTTATTTACATCTGTCACGTGTATTTTCCCTTAAACCAGACCGATCTCTCTAGTTCCAATTTTCACCACAAGATGTCGTATCGCAGTTCAGCCGTTCCCAATAAATGACAATTTTCTTAATATAGTGATGTAATAAAAGTGGAGATAAAATAATTTAATAATCATTAATTTGTTATGGCATTCAATTAACTAAATTGATAATCAATAGTTATATAGTTATTTCAAGAAGTTAATAGTTCCAAGTGTAATGACACTTTCAAAGTAGTTATATAAATAATAGAAGTTTCAAATACTAGTAGTTTCAAATAATATGACCTTCAAAGAGTTTTAGTTTCAGTCATAAAAATTTTAAAAATTAAGTTATCAATAATATTAGTCATAAACTTTGGAAGTATCAATATTAATTATTTATTAACAATTAGGATTTCTTTTAATTTTTAAAACACCTTCATTACTCGATCCAATATTAATAATTAATTAAGTAACAGAAAAAATTCCTTAAAAGACTAAAAAGTAAAAAGAGAATAAAAAAATAGTAGTTTGAAGTAATGGTAATTAATAATTAATAACAAATACCCATAATAATAATTTTTATTATCACTTATATATAAATAAATTTATGAATATTACATAAGTGAAGGAAAAATAAGGAAAATCAATACCTGCGAGAAGACATTTTAAGAACACAGCATAATTCCCGTCTCGCTTAATTAAGCGAGAAACTGAAATACGATTCCACTTTTATAAATTGCTAATTGAAAGTATCATGTGTCAACTTAAGAATGACTTTTTCCATTTTGTTACAGATTACAGATAAAACTCGTTTCTTTCTTTCCCCATATTGTACATAGTTCAAACAAAATTCAATAAAAGAACCGAGAATTTATAATTTAAAAAAACTGTTATTATATTGAACATGCATTCTTATAACAACCTCAATATAGAGCAGAACTTCAAGTACACAGTAAAAAGTAAATCTTAATTTAATTTAAAGCTGCTTTCCTGCCTTAAAATAAGACTTTCTTTTTACTGTGTACTTTTGTAATTTATCAACAATATTTGCAGTCACAAAGGAAAGTGAATAAATAAAAACATTGTTACATATTAGAGAAAAATAGAATGCTTTTTCCTTTATTGTCACATTGTCTATTTAAATGCACCTCCTTTTTTATATTATACTCCATTGTATATCCTTCCTTTTTTAACCCAGAAAACGTGATTTTTATGTAAAAATCGAAATTAATTCAAGAAATATACAAAAGCGAAAATAAATGAATAAACAAATCACTATAAAAATTACATCTCGTTTAAAAACGTGAATTTCAAGTATTCACTGTGACCTAGAAAATTGAATCACTTGTGTATATAGCAGTAAAACGTGAGTTGTGTGTTACCATGTATGCAAAGATATAATTATTACTCTATCTTATTAGTCGTGAATGTCGATTGTAAATTGCTTAACGTAATCAAGTCAAGTTCTCGCGTCCATTAAACATATATATATAAATACAAAAATAATTAATAACTGGACAATAAAAAATCTCTTTTCCTCAATATGATAATTTATAGAATAATGAATACAATCTTTATCTGCAAAATTTTGAAATTTTAGTGAAGTAAAGATTCAATCAAATTAAGATTTTCAGAAAAATTTTATTGGAAAGTTTTGACTTTCA